TCCTGTGAGGTCTTTTGAACTCTTTCATATATTGTATGATTGTGTTTGTATTGTTTTATTGCCACATAACGTTATGAACTGCTTCAGGATACAGTATATGTAAAGGAGAAACAGCATAGAAATATGCTTGCCAACAAAATGCTTTTTTAATCCAATATAAGACTTTGATATTAAAACTTCAGAATATAGGAGCAGATAGTATACAGTGGTGTCTCAACGTATGAACATCCTGACTTACAACTATTTCAAGTTATGACCAGCTCCAGTTGCAAAATTTTGCGTTGAGTTGCATATAGAGACTTGAGTTACAACCACAAAAAGGCAGGGGAAAAAGGCAGGAAATTCAAATTGCTAACTGTTGGTGGCAAAGAGACTGCTTCTTTGTAGCTCTTTCACTCCAGCAGTTAGAAAGTGTGCAATTGGAGGAGGCTTCGGACTTCCTGGTAAGGTAAGGTGCTGCTTTCTACATTTTAAAAACTGTTCTGGGTGGGTTTTGCAGCATGGTCTTGGGCTGGGTGGTGGGATTATATTTCTATGCTGTGATGGGTCTTCGGGGGGTTCTTTTTTGTTTACCCCACTTCTGATGGGTCTTGGGGGGTTGGTTGCTTTTTTGTTTCCCCCCAATTTCCGATGGGTCTTGGGGTGGTTTCCGCTTGCTTTTTGCTTTGTTTTCTTTGCATTTGCAATGGGTCTTGCATGCTTGATTGCTTTTTGCTTTGCTTTCTTTGTATTTGCAATGGGTCTTGAACACTTGATTGCTTTTCTTTCCCCCCCCTCACTTCGGCCGGAAGGGATTAATCACATTTCTGATGGATCTTGCAGTGATTTTTTTTTTGGTGATTTTTTTTCTTCAGCTGGAACAGATTAATTGCATTTCAGTGCATTTCAGTGGGAAATGGGTGCTTCGCCTTATGACCATTTCGAATTACGACCGGAATTCTGTAACCAATTAAGTTAGTAAGTCAAGGCACTACTGTACTTCAGCACACTAATTTCTGAAAAATCTAGAATTCTGTATACAGCTACACCTCAAGACAGTTTGATTTGAATGCTTATAAAATTATATCAGTAAAATGACTCCATTGACAACAATTTTCTGTCTGACAAATAGATTACCAAGAATGTCTGTTTAGAGTATAAAAAGTGTTAAAAGCCATAGTAAATGCTAAAGAATGGCCAACGGAGACAGTGCTCATTTTCTTTCTCAGCACTTTTAAAAAGAGTACTGGATAGTTAAATCATCTAATCTCTCTCAATTTAAATATCCTTTCAGCTTTTTTCTCATATAGGCAGAAAATTGAATTTTCTAGGATTTTAGGTTTTAGGGGCTTTCCAAATTGAGTTCAACAGAGCAGACACCATTTGTCAGCTTGAAAGCCATAAGGAGACCACCATGCAAGAGGCTGTAATTTCTTTTCTGTTCAAAGACTTTGAACGTCACTTTATGACATAACCCTTGTTTAAATCAGCATGCAGGGTTGGGGAGAAATTAATTGCAGCAGCTGGGGTTTATTTACAGCCTCACATGCTGTCCATAGTTTGAGTGACTAGGAAAGACTTTTTTGGGCTGGAGTAATTGTCTGTCTATCCAGGACTAAGCAATTGTTCTTTCCAGCTTTTGAAATTCAAAGAGAACCTCATATCTCTGCTGAGTGCTCTATCCCTCTCTTTCATTGGCTGGTGGCAGCTGTTTGTTGCTGTTGATCTGTTCGGTTGGTTGCTAGGATGCACACAGTAAAGAAAGCAGTATGTGCTAGTTTGTAATTTTAAGCAATTATAAGCAAACAAAATGTTTCTTATCCTTTCGTCTATAAATGTCTCAGAGTGAGTTATTGAGTCTTTAAGTGCCAGTTGATGAGAAAGGGTGGACTCTGGGAAACTAACTATTCTCCTCCATGGATCTCTATACTTCTGCTGTGTATAAAAAAAGAGAATTTTACCATAAATTAAAAATTCTGCAACAGATTCCACACACAGAGCCATGTACGGAACTTGTAAACTACAAATATGGCCCCAAGTTCTTCGGTCACAGCACTAAGGTGTATAATTGTAAAACTCAAATTCTAGATATATTGTCCAGAATTATTTTGCAAAATATCACATACTACATTTAATCACACAGGGGTTTTTTTGTTTTGGTTTTTGCCATTCAGTTGGTCATCTGTCACATGCCAGAGGGCAACACCAGTGGTACAACCAACTGCACAACATGGGCATGTCTGAGTGCACAACAGACAGCAAGATTATGCACACTGCTTGCACAATGTCTAATTTACACTGCACAATATGAACAGGATACTGGCTGCACTTTACCTAGCAATCTCTATTTGACAGAAAACCCAAATTTGGTCCTTACCCTTCACGATCATCCTACTTTGTGGCTCTTAACTCTAGATGCTGGAGTCCAGAATAAATGCCCCACCAGCTGCATCTAAATCCTGGATAAAATGGTGTAGGACAGTAGTCCTTCATGCGTTGGCGGGTAGTGCGGGAATAACTGGTTGTCTCGGTGGGTCCCCCTTTTATAATTAATATAAAACCAACAGCGGGTAGCTCCTTACGCCTCTGCGGATCGTGCGATCACAGGGACGGGGGGGCTGATGCGCTGGGCCACTTTCGGACCGAGAGTCAACAATATAGATGGCTCTGGGCCCGGGGTGTTTTGATTGAGGTCCTTCAGGTTCCTACGGTCGTTAGACGGATGGAACCTGGGGGCCTGGGACTCGCCCATTGACGGATAATAATATTTGGATGCCAGAGATTTATTTACCCGCACTACCGCAGGCCCCCTCAAGTTTGGATTGATTTATTGGTTGAATTTGAATTGGTTTTAATAAAGTGTGGCCCATAATTAAATCCAAAAATCGTTGTCTTGCGTATTCATTCGGGATATGGGGAGGCAATGGTGTAGGCTTTGTAAAATATACATGACGAATACAGTGGAGAAATGGACTCTTCTATCTGTGCATGTCTGTTTCTAGTATGGCTTCTAGACATACATATATTTAAGCACATCCAGTTTATACAGGAAGAGATAAGCATAGCGAGATTGCCTAGGCAAACAAAAATAACAGAGACCCTTTTACAACACCACCTGAATTTCAGGTACATTTCATCTTCAGAGTGAAGATCATCTTTCTCTTACTGCAATGGTAGGTAGCCTAAAGCCAATTACCCTTATTGCTTTGTTTCTTTTCCTGTTTTCTCTCTCTCTCTTTCCAACCAGCATGTAAGCTGCTAGCCATGTGGATGAATCCAGTTCATGAACTTTGCAGTCCTTTATCCATAACCTCAAACTCTGAAATTATCTGACTTGTGGTTATTACACTTTTCAGTTTTTTTTCCCTGTTGGGTACCATGAAGCTGAGGAAACTATGTAGTGAGACCAAAGTGCTGGCAATATTTACATTTAACATGCTTTGGCATGTTCTGATGTAGACCAATCAGATTTTAGCTTCCAACCATACCCCAACAATGTCTGCCCTGCTCAAACAGCATCTAGTCTTACTAAACTTGCAATAATAACAAAAGAGAATTGTCATTTGGGAACGAAAGACCTCTGGAATTTCAGAGTACATGTGATGACAAATCAGCAACACTGCCTGGTCCAAATTGATTCTCTGTGTTTTTCAAACCCTTCCCTTTGTTTTTTAACTTATTCCTTTATATTACTTGTATTTATATGCTGCCTTCCTTCCAGAATTGTGACTCAAGTCACTTTACACAACTGTGTTTTTTTAAAAACTAGAAAACTAGAAAATTAAAATACAATAGAATTATAGCCATTGCAATAGTATTAAATGCATTATAACATTAAAATCAAAACAATTAGATATTTGATTTCAAATATTAGAAATAGTTTACCTTTAAAAAGAAAGCCAGCACATTGGCTCTCTTTAGCAAACTATTCTTAAAATTTTAAGTGTTTTAGAAAGCCCATCTGAATAACAAGGTCTTTGAAGCGGTAAAGCTGACCTCTCTTGGCAAAGCGTTTCAGAGTTTGGGTGTGGCTGCTTTGAATCCCTTATGGCTGACACAGCCATTCTTACGCCAGCAGAACCTCTTTCTGATCCCTGACGGTAGCAAAACTGCTGTGCTGGCTTGATCAGCCAGCTGGAGAACTCAAAAAGGGGTGGAGAATGTGCTGGGTGAGTGCTTACGCCAGGTCCAAGCCTCTTCCGGCCCAAGGACACAGCTCCTAGGCCAGCACAAAGCTAGGGTCAAGGTGAGTACCTACATACTGTACATAGGCATCCTTCAGTCTCGAGATACTATGGTAACATGCTCTGTATCAAGAAATGTCCTCTTCAGAGCATGAAGCCTGGGTAAAGTAGTGTGAAGGGGCTGGCCGAGTGCTTAGGCCAGGTCCAAGCCTCTTCTAGCCCCAAGGACACAGCCCCTAGGCCAGCACAAAGCTAGGGTCAAGGTGAGTAGATACATACATAGGCATCCTTCAGTTTCGAGGGACTACTGTATGGTAACATACTCTGTATCAAGGAGTGTCCTCTCCAGAGCATGAAGCCTGGGTAAAGTAGTATGGAGGATAGGTTGTTACCCAAGCAGCAAATCCCCCCTCTCCATGTTGCTGAAATGGTCCAGTGGAAAGGCAAGAGTCAATACAACTGGTTCCAGCAACGTTGCAGGAGTTGGCAGAACGACACGAACTGCCTTTGGGACTCCAGCTCCGGATTTTGCCTCTAGGTTAACTCCTGAAGCCCTTTCCATGAATGGATATAGCCACAAGGCAGTTGAGGTTTGAAATCAGAGTTTTCCTTCTCCTAGATGGGCTGCCTTCCAGGGCTGACAAGGCCCACCTATGCTTTCCTATTTACCACATTAGGGTCAGAGATAGAGTCCAAGAATTTGAGGACAGCACACGGTCCTGGCACACCCTCATTTAAGGAGGGAAAGCCCCACCTCCTAGGCCATGCGGCAGGGACGGGAACAAAAGAAATCCCAGCAAAAACAAACTCCTCAGCAAAATGTCCATGCAGGCAAACCTGGTCTTCAGCCTCCGCTCAGCCTCCTAGGGAAAAAGGCCTCAGCTCAGCCTCCTAGGGAAAAGGAGAGAAAGATCAGGCAAACCTGGTCTTCAGCCTCAGCTCATCCTCCTGGGGAAAAGGGCCCAGGTCCTGGCACACCCTCATTTAAGGAGGGAAAGGTGAGTACAGTCCTAAGTAATTTCCAACATCCCTAGGATGGGACGGGTTGGGCTTTAACACAGCTTCAGCTTACCTAATGCCAGCTCAGCTAGCCCTCGGCCATCTTAACTAGTTAGCATGGCACCTTCATGCACAAAGCACAAAGTTCTGTAATGCACCGTGCTGGGTTCCTGCTACAACAACAGAAAATTTTGTAGCACCCAAAGTCATGATTAAATTGAGTCTATAATATTAATCAAAACTCTTTGCACTGCAGGAATAAATGATTAGCTATAGGTTCTAAGCCTTTCTCACAAAAAACCACACATTTATTTGTTTTAAGTAGCCACCTATGAATAACATATACATTATGTGAAGGTACAAAAATGTCTCCTTATATTTGCACTGTAGTTTTAATAAAGCCAAAACTCAGGCATGAGGTTTAATGTTTTACTTTTCTGTGTTTGAGATGGCAAAAACTTGAAATCAATACACTGACCTTTTGTGTTGCATAATTTGTTAGAGTGTCCTGCAATGCCCATCACTTTAATTTTATCACTTTTGTTCATTTTTTTTGTGATATTAATTAAAAACTACCGACTAAGCTTGGTTGAACTATTTTCACTGGTTTGTAATCCTTCTGCAGCCAAAGGTGTTTGTTTCTTGGTCCTTACAAAGGGTCTTCTGACAGTAAATTCATGAAGTATCCCCGTTTCCTACTGAACTGAGAAGAGAGTTGGCTCTTTTGTACATGACGTCAAGTTTGTCCATTTTGTAACTTGTGAAATGTGCAATGTGTGCTGTGAGTGCAAGCCCCATCTCTCCAAAACCAGTTGTCTTTGATTCTTTCCCCATCGTGTTACTTTGTTAAGGTGAGGGCTGTATCATTTTTTTGTATAAATGAACTTTTGAGCTTCTTTGCAATTTCCCAATATTTCACTAAGCCTTTTTTCCAGTGAGATAACAGATTTGTTTAGAAACTAGAATACATAGGTATACTCATTAGTAGAAGGGAGTGCTCTAAGGCCCACCTTGTTTCTTCAAGTAAATCACTTGTGGAGGTTGAGTAATCATCAGGAGAGTCCCCATGGAATACTCTTCGAACCAAAATTTGGTTGGCACCCTCGCTGGGTGTGTTTAATAGCCAGCTAAAAACTTGGCTATTCAAACAGGCCTTCCCTCCAGTCAATTAAGTGATTTTCATCCCTAGTCCTTTTCTTTTTCCTGTGTTTGCCATTTTGGCAATGTCTTTCCTTCTAATCAAGTGCTAATATTGTAAATATAATTGTAAATAATTTGAAACATTTTTATGATTTTATATTTGTTTATATTGTTGTGTTTTATTTGTACGCCACCCTGAGTAGACGTTGTCTAGAGGGGCGGGGGAGAAATGAATAAATGAATGAATGAATGAATAAATAAATAAATTGTTATCCCCCTTTAATGATGAATAAATGAATGAATGAATAAATAAATTGTTATCCCCCTTTAATAAGTTCAAAATGCAGACAGTTGGATTTAAGTGTATCATTAAATGACTTATAATAATGTTTGCTTCCACCAGGAACAGGTCTTCTGCAAAGCGAATGGCTCTTAACTGCCATACAATACAAGACTTTGTATTGTAATTGGGGTGTTTGCAACAGGATACTGTTTGTGAAAAAATTCATTGCTCTGCTAACTGCTGTAAGATTTGTAAATAAGCTCAGACAGAGCAGAGAAGCCTGAGGACAGCGGCACATGATGTCATCATCTCCACTGAACAGAAAGTCCTGGGACTTCCACTCTGTGACCCGTCCTTCCACTACACTTTTGGGGGACAAGCCTGAAGAAGAATTCCTATTATTTGCAGGGCCTCTCTATGGGAGTCAGGATCCCCAAAATAAAAATACCTACCCGCCCCCTTTTTTCCAGGCCCCAGATGCATGTGGAGCCCCTGCTCCCCAAGACAGGAGAGGGGCTCCTGCACAGACTTTGTGTGCAGGAAGGCAGCAAAACAGGAAACAGAGGACGCGAGGCTAGAGCAATCCCCTCTACCTGTGGCAAGCTTACACAGAGGAATAAATGAATAAGCCTAATGCTGGCTTTCTGACAGAAGATGAGTATCTGCTCAGTATTACCTACAGTGACAGTGGTGCCCCAGAATTTCAGACAGAAGCTTCTGCAGCCATGCCTGGAGATTTCAGGCAGGTATTGAACAGTGGTGGGGAAAGTATGGCCTTCCTATAAGCCCCAGTAGCAAACAATAATAAGGGATGATGTTTTAGTCCACCAACATCTGGAGGGTCACACAGTCTCTGTTCCTGGTCTCCAAACCTTCCCCTTCATGCACTTGGCAATGTTCCTTTTTTTTTTTTACTGCAACTACCCCAATGTGGCAGAACAATGGTGTCTTCTTGCGCCTTCTGAGGGACCATTACTGTTACACATCATACAAAGCTTCCTATAGTACAGTATTATACAGTGGTGCCTCTAATAGCGATGTTAATGCGATCCGCAAAAACCATCGCTATTGGATTTCCTCACAATGAGGTTTCCCATTGAGATGCATTGAAAGCCAGCTAATCCGTTCCAATTGGAACAAATTGCCGTCCTTAATGGAAAATCTCCACAGGAAACCCCTTCGCGCGGGGGTGGGGGGAGCTCAGCCCACCGCAAAGGGAACTCAGTGTCGGGTGAAAAGAGGGAACCAATCTCTCCCTGGCCAGTGAGCTTGCTTTTCCTGACGAACGCTATTTGATAATGGCCCATAGGAAACATCGCTATTCAAAGTGAAAAAATGCCCTGAAAACCTCATCGCTATTCAGTTTTTTTGTTAATAGAGGCCCTCGCTATTCGAGGCACCACTGTATCTGGTGTGTTGCAAGGAGAGGACTAGTCATGTTTCAACAATCCATTTAGTTCATATTCAAATCCATGTTTTGGGGTTACTATCTCTTCATGCACTTTCTTGCAAATGTCTAGGAAGGTTTACTTGATCAGAATACAAAGGGGGGGTCACCCACTCCCGAAACTGGGTGATCATAGCCAACCACACTTCTCCCCCTGCCCCCATGAGCATACAGTATTTGGCTAGCTCTCTGCCTCAGCCTAAACTTTAACTTCAGAGAGGAACCAGGATTTGAGCTTTCCCTGATTTCCCCTGTTGATTTTCAGTGTGCTATACTGGCTCATCAAATGGCCACTGAGCTTTCCCTGATTTCCCCTGTTGATTTCCCGTGTGCTATACTGGAACTGTATACAAATGGCCACATAGCTGTCTATTGTTACAGACAGGATTGTCAACTAATTGCCATTCTTCTCCACACCAATTAGAGATGTTCTCTTGATTCAAAGTTTACAAGGCCAGCATCTGATTGCACTCTTTCTGGACAAGATAAATCTCATCGGTGTAAGAGGGGTCATGCTGTTTGCACAAACACTGTCCTTGGGAAAGCAGTGGGTGGGTCCCCTTTGGCCATCAGTGCTTGCACACCAGGGTTCCTTGCCAAAGTGGTGCGATCCTCTCTTACCACTTTCCTCTATGTTACCAGGCTGGTGGGACTTTCTGATCAGCAGCTCAGTGAGTACTGGCCTAAATTAGGAATGGAGAAACTTTGGCCCTGCCACTGTTTTGGGCTGTGACTCCCACTGGGTCTTATCATTGGACATGCTGAGTGGGGCTGATGGGAGCTGAAGGCTGACACAATCAAGAGCTGTTCGCCCTTTGCTTTACAGGCTGCTAAAAGTGAGGTTAACCCAACCCTATGGCTGTTTGGTGGCACATGGTGGCACTGCGGGTTAAACCGCAGAAGCCTCTGTGCTGCAAGGTTGGAAGACCAGCAGTCCTACGATTGAATCCACGTGATGGAGGGAGCTCCCATCGCTTGTCCCAGCTCCTGCCAACCTAGCAGTTTGAAAGCATGTAAATGAGAGTAGATAAATAGGTACCACCACGCTGGGAAGGTAGCGCCGTTCTGTGTCTAGTTGCGCTGGCCACGTGACCACGGAAACAGTCTTCAGACAAACACTGGCTCTATGGCTTGGAGACGGGGATCATCGCCACCCCCTAGAGTCAGACAGGACTGGGCTAAATGTCCAGGGGATCCTTTAGCTTTATGGCTGTTTAGAAAGAAGCAACACCTCACAACCTGCCTTTCCATCCATCTTTTTTCTTCACCCATTTGCAGACTTCCGATTTTGTTTGCCAAACCTGAGCAGGATTTTTAATGACAGGACCTTCTGCAGGTCGTGAATTCATAGCGTCGCCAGAAATCGGAAGCGATTAGACAGCAAATAACCGTAACAGACGCCTACTAACTGCCCACCTCAGCACAAAAGTATGCACGGACCTGATCTGTTAAAAACTGCTGGAAGGAAACTCTTAATTAATTTGCAGCGGCGTGGGATCGCCTAGTTCCGGCTTGCCCTCTGGACAACTACGGGACCAGCTTCATATCCGTATCCTTTTTAGTCCTACAGAACTTTTTGTAATGCTAGATGACCTCAGAGACGTCCCGCGATAGCTCAGGTGCGGGCAAGGTGCCCAGAATGGAGTTCATTGTCCTCGGGGAGAACGCAAGAGCCCACAGCTCCTTTGGCACCCACGGCTGCCAGAGGGGGGAGCGGCTAAGGAAAAATGCCCACGGAGGTCACTGACTCGCGGAGCGCCGGCCTCCCATCCCAGAACCTGCCCGTCGAATGTTGCAATCCCCTTTCCGCCTTGCATAGTGTCCAAGAACCGGGCGGCGATCACGCTGGTAGCTCGTGACCGGCGGGCCAATTACTAGGCCAGCTGCAAGCCGTGGACCAATCAGAGTAGAGAAATTACCCATGCCCCCAGCCAAGGAGCCAATAGGAAACCGCAGCTGCCGAGCGTCGCTGTGTGCCCGGGAGCTCTTGGCGTTCTCAATTATCCGGGAGAAGGAGCGCTGCGCTGAGAAGGAGAGCAGAGCTCGGGCTGAGCGGGCCGGAGGACGCGCACCCGCAAGGACCCTCGGAACCATGGACGCCAAGAAGCACGTGGCTAACTTCGGCGCCGGACCCGCTAAGCTACCGCGGGCGGTACGTGCAACGTAGCAATAAGGGTTCGTTTGCTGCAAGCCGTGCAGTCTTGTTTGCTCCGCCGTGCTTTTAGGCAAATCCCTCAGGACGGCTTAAATGGGACGGAGGAAGGCTTGCAACGCGCACCCCCGACCCGATGCATGCTGTGCTTGAAAAATAAGTTGCAGTAAGTCGGTCCTGCCCCTTTCCTTGGGAGCAGGACCCATTGAGCCTTGCAACCGATTGCCCGTTTTTAGGGTTGCACGGCGAGTTCGTGAAGTAGAACGGGGTTCCTGTTTTATCGTGGCTGGCGTCGAAGTGTTTGGACGCTTAGCCTGCCCTTCAGAGAGCGGCCGTGGTCCCTTGGAGGCGGGGAGGGCTTTCTATACGATTGCTATCGCAGCCTCGGTGGAGATAATTAATTAGAGAAGGCTTCATCAATCCCCAAATCCTTTCGGAGGGGGTGTTATTGCACGCGGCTTGTGCCTATCTTCTCGCCCTTCCAAGCTGTGAGGGGAAAGAGTTATACTTCATAACATGGTAGGCAGTGGATGAAATTCTCCCTTTAAAACAGTTCTCAAGCCTGTTGTTCGCAAGTCCAGCAGCCTGACGGCTTGAGACGAGGTCTGACCGAGGAGAGGATCCGCAATATTGCTTTTTTTAAAAAATGAGGTGAAGTCCGTGTGACAGGTTGAGACCGTCGGAGGCACTTTCTACACGGTCCCTTAGCTGTCTAATGGTGGTGCTTTGCCGAGTAAATTAAATTGGCTGGCGTGTTAGGACTAGCATCTCTCTTGCTTTGTGTTTTTTATCTAGATTAAAATTACTTTTTGCTTTTATAGGCTGGGACATTGCCCGTTTTTTCTTAGGCCTGCAAAAGGTAAATAGAGATGTCCTTGTGAAGAGGAGGCATTTGCCATAGTAAAGGGGGAACCCAGCCTTTTTCAAGGACATCTTAGAAGGTCTGTTAAATAGGATGTCTGCATTGCAGGGTATTTCCCCTTCATTTCTTCCCCATTATCCCTTGTGCCTTGTCTCTGAGGAGCCAAGCCCCTCTTTTGTTTTTCTGAATTTAATTTTAGCTATTGAAGAACAGAAATCCATATGCTTTTTAAAAAATAATCCTATATCTCACTGGGGCCATCCAATCAACTGACAGGACATTTAATTTTATGTGCATCCTGAGACCAATTATTTGGATGTGTTGTATTTTCAGGGTGGAAAAATCAACTGAGGTTGTAAAAATAGCAGGCTCTTTGTGAATTGAGATTGACTCATAGAGAAATGAATATCATTTTTAAAAAAACTTTGTGAAAAGCCAGCAGTTGTGAAAAGTCCAGGAGAAGCCCACCCTTTCTGTGCTCCAACACCTGGGAAAAAAAGAAATGTTTCCCATTTTTCCAGACAATAAAGCTGGAGTATCTGAGTGCTTGGAGCTTTAAAAAAAAAGAAATAAATTATCCATTTTGTTTGTGAATCCAAGCTAAGCCTTAAAGGATCCATTGTCTTCTGTTAGTGAATAGACCCTTTGTAAGTATGTAGGGCAGAAGATACTGTAAGTACAGTATATGCAATAGACTAGTTTAACGAGGCAGCTTTTTACATGCTAGGAATAGACTTGAAATAACATATGTTAATAATTTGTTAAGTTATAGACATCCCTTTTGAAAGTTGCATCAGCAGCAGTCTTGATCCGATTACATCTGGGAGAGGTGTGGCTTCTACTCTACATCTGGTTTTCCAGCTTTCCAAAAGAATTGTATTCCTTAGCATTTCTTAATAGTTGTGTGTTGCTCTTGGTTACACCTAGAAAGTGTAACCAAGAGCTGCTGTTGGCTGGTTTTTCCCCTGAAGTTGGTTTGCATAATTAGCATTTTCTGAGAAGGGTACGTTATTAACATTCTATTATCTTGAGAAATCTTTTCATAGAGAAAGTTTCTATTCCAGTCCAGATCCATGTACACACTACCTTGAACTTATAAGAGGGAAGGCTAGCTGGAAATGCAACCAGTAGACAGCATAACTATACCAGGGTCTTATTTGAGATGCAGAATCTGATTAATCTGTTAACATTTCACCAAGGAAAGAGTTTGTATATTTTAATAGTGTTTGCACATAAATGCGTGTGCCAGAATTTTGTAAAAATGTCTTTATTTTTCAAACATTTTTGAAGCTGATTGCAAAAGAGGCTTACTGTTAGTGTTAGATAAGATTTTTTAAAAAAAAATCCTGACTCAAAAGTGTCACTCATTGATTACCAGAGCATTGCATTCTAAATACGTATAATAATACTGTCCAACTGTTTTATTTTTCCAAAAAACTTGCAAGGGGGGACATATTTGTATATGGGACATTATTTTATTACTACCATATTTTAAAGCAGAGTAAAGTGTGCTGCTTATATTTTGCCCCATACTGCTTGAAGCAATCTCTTGGTGGTTTACATGTTAATTATGCAGGGTACCTATTGCGCACTCCACCAAGCTGACTTTTCAGTTTATTGACCTCAGAGAGTTGGAAAGCTGAATCAACTGGCTACTTGAGCTCCTCAGAATTGGGATCAAACTCAGGTCATGAGCAGAGTATTGACTGCAGTACAGTGGTGCCTCGCTTGACGTTAATTCGTTCCAGTGAAATCGCTGTAGAGCGAAAACGTCGTCAAACGAAATAAAAAAACAATTGAAATGCATTGAAAACCGTTCAGTGCATTCCAATGGGCTGAATACCTGCTTGTCCAGTGAAGATCCTCCATGCGGCGGCCATTTTCAGTGCCTGTAAAGCAAGGAATCCGTCCTAGAAACCCGCAGGGGCCCATTTTCTTCAGCCGGTGGCCATTTTGAAACACGACGATCAGCTGTTTGCTGATCATCGTAAAGCGAAAATCGGTTCCCGAAGCAGGGAACCGAGCATCGCACAGCGAAAAAACCCCATTTAAAACATTGTTTTGTGATCGCAAAAAGCGATTGCAAAAACGTCATCATAAAGCAGATTCATTGAGCGGGGTAATTGTCCAGCGGGGCATGACTGTACATCAGTTTAGCTACTGCACCACAAGGCTCTTTCAAGTATGCGGTGGTGTGATTGAAACATTAGGAACTGTATAGGTTTCACACAGTGAAGCAACCAAGCACTAACCAATGCATAAGAAAATTTATTAATTCTTGCCAGTGTTGTAATAGTAAATCTAGAAGTGCTCGTGCTAACTAGCCAGATCTCACCCCAATGAGTCAAAAAATTCAGGCAGTTCTATTATGCTGTCTCAACAAATGAGGAGACTTTTGCTTTTGTAAAAGAAGTAGCTCTTAATTGCCCATTGAAGGCCAAATCCTCAAATATTTTCTGTAGCATAGTACATCAGAAGTACTATGCTACAAAGTGCTGTTTCTGTTTGTTTTCCAGCTATAGTGTAGTTTGCAGCTAAGCTCAGAGAGAACAAGGAAATGGGTGGTGGATGGTGGCTTAGTCCTTGCTACTGAGAAAATCCGGAGGTTTCAGTCCTGTGAGACCTAAGTACACTGTATCAGTGCTTTCAGTTTTGCGTTCCAAATGTTATTCATGTATCTAACTTGAATGGTCATACCAACCAGATAGGCGGGGTATAAATAAAATAAATAAATAAAAGCATGAAACACGGCTAAAATTGTACAAGAAATTAGATGCAGAGACCCAATAGCTCAGTGACAGAAAAATTGTGTTCTATTTGCAGACGTATCTAGGGCCTCATGAGCCAAGATGCTAATTTCCACATCTAGAAACAGTGCACCCCTGAAAGGAAAAAACTGTTAAAATAACACCAACTTGATCCAGTCTTCATCTGGCAGATAGTTTTGGGCTTGGTCAGCTGGGAGATAATATTGCTTTGTTCACACACTTAATGTTTCATGCAGGTGAGATTGAAAGATTGGTTTTGTCTGGATCAATAACTGTTTGAAGAGAAGGAAATACCCATTTGCCTTAACATGTAATATGTCCCTGAGAACAGTTACTGGTATTTCCAGCTAAAACAAACAAAAAGGTGATAGAAAATAAGATTCTGACCCTTATTGATTAGTGCTATGATAGAGAATGACTGTTATTAGAGAAGGGCATAAACCTCAGTTTGGAGATTCATGCTGGTTCGTAACCATGGCACCTGTGTCATGTGTTCCCTTCCTCCACCTTCCCAGCTAATAAACCACTCACCAGTCAGATTGTGCACTCCTCCTCTACAGCTGTTCAACCAGTCCCTGGCAGGAACACAGGTTTGCCTGTCCTGCCTCCTTGCCTGTGTGGGCAATCAGCCAAGGAGATGGGGCAGGAAAGCCTGTACAGTTGCGCCTCGCAAGACAAATGTCTTGCGGGACGAAAAACTCGCAAGAAGAATGTTTTTGGCGATGGGGTCGATGACTTGCAAGACAAATGTTCCTATGGCCATGCTTCGCAAGATAAATGCTTTCCATTTTTTGTTCCTGCCTCATGTTTGCTGATTTTTAAATGTTTTTCTATATTGCATTTTTTTAAAATCATCTGCACGATATGTATGGCTTTAAAGAGCACTTAATAAACCCTTCGTAAACCAAATTTGACTTTGTTCTGACTTTTTTTGCCCATAGGAATACATTAATTAGATTTCAGTGCATTCCTATGGGAAAATGAGTTTCACAAGACAAATTTTTTGCAAGACAACATTAACCACGGAACGAATTAAATTTGTCTTGTGAGGCACCACTGCACTCTTGCCAAAGATTGACCAAACAGCTGAAGAAGAGGAAGAGAGGAGTGTGTGCTGATTGGGGGATCCCCCTGGGGAGGTGGGGGAAGGGTGCCACATGTATGAACCAGCACGAACTTCCAAACTGAGGCTCATGCCCATCTCTAACTATTATTGTTACTGCAGGGCTATTATTGTTGGAGTAGCTTTTAGTGTATAATTCTACCTTCCTATCTTTGTTTTATCTGCCTGTACTTAACTTCTGTCAGTATATTTACATGAGTGGTGCTGTTGGTGTGTGGTTACGTTGAATTAATTTATTTTGCAGGTTTTGTTAGAAGCCCAGAAAGAGCTGGTGGATTATAAAGGCCTTGGCATTAGCGTTCTTGGTAAGGTACCTGTATTTATTCTAGTTTTTCTTAAAATGCTTGGGAGTTTAAAATTGTTTTTCAAAATAAATGCAACATAAACAAGCTGCATATTTTCATTGTTAATGTTCTCAGTTTCAGAATTATTGTATCTGAAATATCTATCTGTATTATTTGTTTAAAATACTTCTAGGTCATCTGTAAGTGTGAAAAATCACTCCGGATAGCTTGCTGTACAGTGGGGTCTCGACCTACGGAATTAATCTGTATGGGAACGGAGTCCGTACATCGAAAAGTACGGAGGTCGAAAATGCATTCCCCATAGGAATGCATTGAAAACCATTTAATCCATAACCCGCCCAAACCCCCCACATACAAAATTAAAATAAAATTTTAAAAATAAAAACTTACCTTTCTGAAGTCTTCCAGGGGCCCTCCGCCGCCGCCATCGCCACTGCTGGAGGACTCAGAGGGCTTCGGCGCGGCTGCCGGAAGCCTCTCGGAGCTCCACCACCACCGCCATCACCGTTGCAGGACTCCGAGGGCC